TTATATTTGCCGCAGAGTTGGTAAATTTAGGGACCTGTATTCTTTTATTTGAATATGTAAGATTTTAATGGCTGTCTCTTTTCATAAGCTTGGTTTACCTCAAATTTTAGAAACAGCCATTTTTACCAACAGCTAGTTCTAAATATAAAATTGAATAAGTACTGAATATTAAAGACAAATCCTGATTATTACAATATTTACCTCCCTTGCCAAAAGTGGCAGCCATTTCGGGGGTTCTATATACAATATAATTGGCAAAATATGATTTAATATGATTTACATGAAAAGTCAAATTATCTTATATAAATGCACCAAAACATAATTACAGCACCAGTATGTAAAAGATTTTTCACAGTTTTCATGAAGATGATATAACAATTAAAGATTTTATCTTACATGACATTGTATCTTAAGCATATGAAAATGGCAGCCAGGGGAGGTAATTATTGCTATGTGAAAAGCATCTTTACAAATTCAGTAGGGATAGGTTAATCTATGGTAGTTTGCTGTAACAAACTTTGAAAGTAATGATTTTTTGTTCATTAATAAAAAGGTACAATAGTTATTTTTTTCTAAATCTATCTGTGTATTTAAAGTGACATTATGCCCATCCAAGGGTATATAGTGAGTGAACAGGTGAATATCAAAATAAGTTGTCATTTTGCCATAATACCTTTTAATTCAATAATTTACTTCCCATAAACAATAAATAACGCACAGATCCAAGCAAAACTTCTGTAAATATCCATTAGAATTTACCTATAACGCTCAGTTTATAAAAAGAGTGGGGCAGTCTTTTTATATTTTAGGCAGATTTATAATTTTACCCTGAATATTTTCCAATATCAACTGTTGGTCAGGCACCATTTTAGCCGTCAATCTTGAGAAATAAAAAGTCAATTCAGTTCAACTTGACTATGAAAATATGAGCATAATGTCACTTTAAACGAGAGGCTTTGTTCCTCTTTGTTCAATTATTAAAATCCTGCTAATATTTATTTACCTTGTTAAACTGAGTCCAGGAGACAACAGCGCTGCTAAAGTCTACAGTTCCACTCATACCAAACAATTTATTGCCCAGGTATTTAAGATTAATGTCACTAAGACCTCGTCCAGTCATTGCGCAGAACTTTGTAGACAGCATTTTAGCTACCTCTGACCAAGGAACTTTGTCCGGCACTTGAAAGGGTATTCTTCCCTGGAAGAAAGAAATATATAGCAAATAGTGTTCATCATTATTAGCTCAAATCATGTACATAAAGAATATCTTTAGTTTCAGATGAATCAACATTTTTATGAGCATTTGTCGAATTTCAAGGCTAAAGTAGTAGAGAGGATGTGGATATAATCAAACCAAGACAACCTCAAATAAATGATTACCCTGTAAATAAAGGCCATTTTTTGACACTTCCTCACTGATAAAAACAAACAAAATCACCACCAAATAAAGCCCACTTGCCTACCTCCAAATAAAGCCCACTTGTCTACAAAAGTTATGTTCAGTCTTTCCCTTCAATGACCTTTGTTCACAGGTTTGACTGTATAACACTTCATGTAATATGCAAAACCTCCTTCAAAATTCTCAAAACTCAAACTTTGTAATAAATTTAGCCCTTTACATGCTAAAAACATGTATATTAAACGGACTTAAACATTTTTACAATCTTAACAAAGCCATTCATTTATAGGTAAAACTTTCAATACATCATGTACAGGCTGAATAACAAACAGTGCAGACCATGAAGGCAAAGATGTACTGGCTGAGCTTGGTCTGCACTGGTCGAATTGGTAGAATCACTTGTCGCTAAAGGCAACTGATCTGAACAATCTGCGCAGTCTGATCAGGATCCATGCTGTTCCCTATCAGTTTCTCTACTTATAATAGGGTTGGTAAGCGAACAGCATGGATCCTGGTCAGACTGCGCGGATGCCAAGCTGGTCTGGATCCATGCTGGTTGCAAACGCACTATGTTGGTTTTGTCGTGATGCAGCTCATATATTTAATCATGCTATTTCTTTTGTTTTGTCAGATAGGCAGTATGACAAGTGAACAGCAAATATTTTGTTTTGCCTTCATCTGCAATCTGATTAAAATAAACTCCTAATTAATGCTACTCATCAGGATCTGAAGGGTACCAATAGGAGGTCAACTTTTTGTGACCTTTTAAACAGCCAATCATCGGCGAGCTTTAACAATTTGTAAAGCAATGCGGTTTCTAATTTTAAAGGCTGAAAAACCAATAATGATTTGGTAATTTATAAAATAAAGAATAAACTCACCGGTTCCGAGAACTGGTTGTCCCAGAGATAAGTTGCTGTAGCCTGGCATTCCTGGTTACCATGTACAGTGACCACTACTGGCAATGACAGAGTCTGTGGAAGAAAAAATCCTTGAACAGTGAGTTCAAATCCTACCAAAAATGAAAATACAAAAATCTACTTTTTTCTATCTTTTATTATTTTTCTAAATATAATAAGTGGAACAGGATCAGTTTTAAGGTTTATTTAATGATGCGTGCTGTTTTGATTCTGAACAGTCTTCATCACACTTATAAAATATCATAATTATTATTCTTTTGCTATTAGTTTAATGATTTCTTTAAAAATTAAAGGCAAAACTATTTCACTCTAATCAAACTTTAGATTATCTATAAATCCATAAGTTTTTTTTAAAAACTCGGCAAAATTCCTCAACTTCCGTATCAAATAATCAGTTTAAAATTGACATTATTAAGTAGTTCATTACCATATCAACACTCATATTAAGGTCTTTAAAAGACATGAACAGGAGAGATACTATAAACTGTTCACTTTTTCATGGGTGAATACACCTTAAAACATCTTTAAGTACTCTTTATTTTACTGTTTTAAAAGCAATCAATATCTTTTTTAAAGTTTAAATGTTACTATTTCTAGAGATGTATTTTACAATTTTTCATTTCAAGTTTGACCCATAAGTCATAGATTTCTCAGAATCAAAATATCCAAAATCATGTGTGATTTATCCGCCTATTTCCACTGCGCAGTCTGATCAGGATCCATACTGTTCGCTATCAGTTTCTCTACTTGTTATAGGGTTTGTAAGCGAACAGCATGGATCCTGATCAGACTGCACGGACGCGATCCATGCTGGTCGCAAACCCATTATGTTGGTTTTATATATATTTTTTTGTTTTTGGTAAATCTGTTAAGTCCCAATAAATGGTTGGTCATACAGCTGTACCATATTACACTTTTTGGAAATATATAGTTGTTATTTTGTACTGTATTTGGTAGACAAAATCCCACTTTGTTTGCTTTTTGTTACCTTTTATAGTAAATTATTTAAGATTCAACACTGCCATCTTCATGTGATAAACATTTAATATGTTCTAAATCTATAATATAAAACTACATGTATTATATCACATGTATTTGGCCTTTCTTCATAGGAAAATAATAATCACTTCAGAGGATTTAGGTGCCTTTATAAAGACTTGTTTTAAAAAATCTGAACCAAATTCTTTGCTAAGGAAACAATTAGATAATATAACCAAAGTTTAAGGGATCAACTTATGAGAGAAAAAAAAGTATATAATTTTCTTCCAACTGGTTTCTTTTCATAGAATTTTGCTAATTACTTTGCAGCTTCCTATTTCCTTCTTATCAGGAAAGAATAATTGATATTCTAAGTTTAACAAGAAATCTATTCCTAGCACATATTGGTATATTCTTCTTTTTGTCACACAGAAGTTTAAGTATTCCAATAATATAGCAAATTAAGTACAAGGATGATTTCATGATAATTAAAGTTATATTATGCCCATCAAAATGTAAATGGTGAGTGCCCATACAGCACATATGCACCCAATTAGTTTGCCTGTCACAGAGGCATATTTACATAATTATGTCTATTTCATAAAGGTCACATTTAGTGTTATATCAATAACTTATATAACGGTATATCATAATAGTAATAATGATATTATAACTAAGTATCACAAACATATGACAAAGAAAACTTGACATAAGACAAGGATGTCACAGTGACCTTGACCTACTGACCTCAATACCTATATATACTGGTCATGGGCAATATTCCTTCAAAGTACAACAAACCTAGGCTTATTTATGTATAAGTTCACTGTGACTTTGACCTCAAAATCAATAGGGGTCACCTACTGGACAATGGTCCTACTAAGTAACAACAAGACCTGTCTGCAGACAGTGAGCTCCACTTTTCTCAATGCAGGATAGCTAAATAAAAGCAAAATAGGGCAAAATTGTGAAAAAATGCTTTACATACTTACCTGCCCCATGATAGTCAACAAATAATTCAAGGGTAATTGAGAAAAAGAAAAATATTCCAGAATCAAAAAAGGGTAATGTTATTATTAAGGAAAATTGGTGCAAGTTAAAAGTGGATATATTTGATACTTTTTGAAAAATGTACCTTTACAAAAAGGTTAACCAAGAAATTCAAAAACAAAAAAAGAGCATAACTGAGTAAAATTAAATCATAAAGTTACCTGCCCTCTAGAAATGCAATCCAGTTTTCAAATTGAACAAGTATTCCAAGTTTACTGAGTAGCTTTTACAGCCTTTGAGAAATTGACCTTACCAGAAAAAAAACTTAAAAAGTAAAAAAGTGGGCATAGCTTTGCAAAACTAAACTCTTGGATTATCTGCCAAACTGAAATTGTTTTATATTTCAATAGTGAACATGCATATTAAGTTTAAAGTGAATAACTTCAAAAGATTCCGATAAAATGGACCTTAACAAAAAGGTTTGAACAGGGCAAAAAAATCTGCCCTTTTAAAATTAGTGTCTTTTCATGACACTTAACAAGTATACCAAGTTTAAGGTAAATAGCAATTATAGTTTTTTAAGAAGATAGACATAACGATAAGGTTAACCAACGACAACGCCAATACTGATGAGAGGGTCATGACAAAAGCTCTACTTTTTTTTCTTGGAGCTAAAAACCATGGCTTATTTAATCGCAATAAGGATAATGTGTTCACAAACTTATGAATGAACCAACCCTTCTATCACAGTATGCTTCCCAGTTTTTAAGTTGGGGCATAAAAATGCATTGCTTGAATAAATTGTAAAATGTATGTCTTTGTAAGTATAGCTCCTCCTATTTAAACATGCATATTGATGTATATTACAATAGCTTCTCAATCTTCTATAAAAAACTCCATCTCCTCAGAGGACCATGTTATGAAATGAGCCACGTCACGACAAAACCAACATTGTGTGTTTGCGACCAGCATGGATCCAGATCAGCCTGCCCATCCGCGCAGTCTGATCAGGATCCATGCTGTTCGCTTACCAACTCTATTACAAGTAGAGAAACTGATAGTGAACAGCATGGACCCTGATCAGACTGCGCAGATGCGCAGGCTGGTCTGGATTTATGCTGGTCGCAAACCCACTATGTTGGTTTTGTCGTGACGTGGCTTAAATACTGTTTCAATCTGTTTTGAAAAAGTGTATTTTAATTTCTACAGTTATAGCTGTACAGATGTAATTACAGCAATAATGAGATTAAACTTCAGAGAGAAAAGTGTGCATGTAAGAATGTTCACTAATATTTTTCACAGATGAAAAAAGAAAAAAAACATTCCGTGTGTTGTAATAGCATGCATCTGGAAAAAAATTCAAGTCCACAGAAGTTTTTCAACTTTACAATGTCCAGCAATATCAAGGTAATAATTCATCCATATTATATACAATTTACAGGGAAGCATGGAAGTTTTGTTAAGAATACTTTTTTGTCTTTGTTCAGCAAAGTGAAGCTAATAAATTTATAAGAAAGCACCAAAGTTTTGTTAATGAAGAGTACAATAATTTCATGAAGCAACATAGAAATTGTCATCTTGGGTGAATCAATTAAAGCTTAGTAGACAAAGTTAAGAAAAGTATAACATGCACATATGAAAAAAATGACCAGTTAAAAATTGACCAAACTAAAATTGATAAATCAATAAGCATTTTAAAACAGATTGGGCCATAATAACAAAAAACAAGTGGGCCATTATGGAACTTTAAATTTCTTCAAAGATTTTTTTTTCTTTAAACAGGTTTAAAAGAAGCTTGCAATGATTATATCTACTTTTTTATAAAGAATTTAATTCATTTTTCTTCTTTTAAACCAACAGGTATAAACAAGAAGGCCATAATGGCCCTGAAATCGCTCACCTGTATATAGGCCAATTTCAAACCAGGGGCTTTTATTTGAAAAAACTTGGTAGACATCCATCTATATAACTATCTAAGCTCTAACTCTTTGGGGTTATTATAAGAAGATTTTTTAAGTTTTTACTATATACATATAGGGAAAAACAATGACCCTCCACCCCTGGGAGGGGCCAATTTTGACACCCAGGGCTTTTAGTTGAACAAACTTGGTAGACACTGACCAGAAGATTTTTCATGCTTAGTATCTAAACTCTAGCTCTTTGGGTTTTTATAAAAATATTTTTAAGTTTTTACTATAATACACATATAAGGAAAAAAATGACCCCCGGGGCGGGGCCAATTTTAACCCAAGGGCCCTTATTTAAACAAACTTGGTAGACACCCATTAGAAGATGTTTCATGCTTAATAACTTAGCTCTAGCTATTTTGAGTTTTTTAAAGAACATTTTTTTACCTTATACAAATAAGGAAAATCAATGACCCCCTGAGGCGGGGCCTATTTTTTACCCCAGGGCTTTAATTTGAACAAACTTGGTAGACACCCTTTAGAAGATGTTTCATGCTTAATATCTAAGCTCTAGCTATTTGGGTTTTTATGCCCCCACAATGTGGGTGCATATAGCGTTGCACTTGTCCGTCCGTCAGTCCGTCCGCACTCACAGGAGAGTAATTATGTGGCTAGAGGGACAATAGGTTCTCTTTGATGTCATTCATTCCGTAATGCTTTTATGTGGCTATTTTCTTTTGCGTGGCTAAAAAGAACAATAGAGAGAACAATAGAGTAGCCACATAATTACTGTCCTGTGAGAACGTCCGTCCGTACGTCCCGAAATCTTGTGAACGCAACTCCTCTTAAACCGGATGGCAGATTTTGCTTAAAATTACAGGGATGAACAACCTTAATGTGTAAATGGTAATAAAGGAAAGAATTTTCGCTGCGACCAAATTAACAGAATTATGGCCCTTTGTTGATTTTTTCACTAGATACTATGTAGAAATTTTGTGAACGCAACTCCTCTTAAACCGGATGGCAGATTTTGCTTAAACTTACAGGGATGAACAACCTTAATGTGTAGATGGTAGTAAAGGAAGGAATTTTTGCTGCAACCAAATTTAACAGAATTATGGCCCTTTGTTGATTTTTTCACTATATACTATGTAGAAATTTTGTGAACGCAACTCCTCTTAAACCGGATGGCAGATTTTGCTTAAACTTACAGGGATGAACAACCTTAATGTGTAGATGGTAGTAAAGGAAGGAATTTTCGCTGCGACCAAATTTAACAGAATTATGGCCCTTTGTTGATTTTTTCACTTATATACTATGTAGAAATTTTGTGAATGCAACTCCTCTTAAACCGGATGGCAGATTTTGCTTAAACTTCCAGGGATGAACAACCTTAATGTGTAGATGGCAGTAAAGGAAGGAATTTTTGCTGCAACCAAATTTAACAGAATTATGGCCCTTTGTTGATTTTTTCATTATATACTATGTAGAAATTTTGTGAACGCAACTCCTCTTAAACCGGATGGCAGATTTTGCTTAAACTTCCAGGGATTAACAACCTTAATGTGTAGATGGTAGTAAAGGAAGGAATTTTTGCTGCGACCAAATTTAACAGAATTATGGCCCTTTGTTGATTTTTAGTTTTCAACTTGTGGCACATGTAGTCCAAAAAATATTTGACCTAAAGTCATAAGATTGACAGAACAGTGACGTGTGGGGGCATCCGTGTCCTATGGACACATTTCTAGTTTTAAAAGTTTTTACTATATACAAATAAGGAAAATCAATAACCCCCTGGGGCTGGGCCAATTTTGACCCATGGGCATTTATTTGAACAAACTTGGTAGACACTGACTATATGATGTTTAATGCCAAATATTTAAGCTCTAACTCTTTCGGTTTTCTATAAGAAGATATGTTAAGTTTTTTCTTTCGGTTGCCATGGCAGCCAGAGTTTTGCTTGGAATTAAATTCTATGAACAATTTTTAAGTTGACTACCAAAGGAACATTCCTGTGAAGTTTGGATGAAATTGGCTCAGCGGTTTATGAGATGTCGTTTAAAGTAAAAGTTTACGGATGCCGGACGAAAAGCAATCACAAAAGCTCACCATGTCAATTTGTGACAGGTGAGCTAAAAATGGGATTGATGGCTTTACAAAAGAATAATGTATAGGATTTATGGCTTTACAACGGAATAAGGTATGGGATTTATGGCTTTACAAAGGAATGGTGTTTATGGCTTAATAAAGGAATAAGGTATGGGATTTATGGCTTTACAAAGGAATAAGGTATGGGATTTATGGCTTAACAAAGGAATAAGGTATGGGATTTATGGCTTAACAAAGGAATAAGGCATGTTTTTGGATAAAGGAATAAGGTATGGGTTTATGGCTTTACAAAGGAATAAGGTATGGGATTTATGGCTTTACAAAGGAATAAGGCATGGGACTTATGGCTTTACAAAGGAATAAGGTATGGGATTAATGGCTTTACAAAGGAATAAGGAATAGTGTTTATGGCTTAATAAAGGAATAAGGTATGGGATTTATGGCTTTACAAAGGAATAAGGCATGGGATTTATGGTTTTTCAAAGGAATAAGGCATGGGACTTATGGCTTTACAAAGGAATAAGGCATGGGACTTATGGCTTTACAAAGGAATAAGGCATGGGACTTATGGCTTTACAAAGGAATAACGTATGGGACTTATGGCTTTACAAAGGAATAAGGCATGGGATTGATCAGTTTACAAAGGAATAATGTCTAAGATTTATGGCTTCAATGACACTCAACACAAAGGGATAAAGTATATGACTAAAAGCTTTACGAACAATCAGCAAAACAGGATAAAGTACAGGATTTACGGCTTTAAGAATATTTTGTCTTAAAACATTCTATTTTAAAATATTATGGACTTTGCTAACATAATTGAATTAAATATTGAGGGGATAATTTCAATCAATCTATGTTCTGAAACCTTTGTTCCTAAATATTTACCTTATGTTGTGTTTACACTACCTAACAAATGCTCATTAGTTTTGTTTTTCTAATCTTTCATGTTTGTTATCAATTCATTTTAGACAAATCACTTAATCAATAATTGGACATGTGCAAAAAGAAAATACTCAACCAGTCACCGCTTCAAAGCTATACCAGATGGTAACATATATGCAAGAAATCATGAGATAAAGCTAGAAGCACATAACAAAACTCACCCAGACCTGAAACTTTAACTCGTTACCACCAACATTAAAGTCCGATGAGAAATAGATACAAAATTTCTCCTCTGCTACTGTCTGTTTAAATTAAAAATAAGAAACATAATTATCATTAGAAAATAAGAAACATAATAATTGAAAATAAGAAACATAATTATCAATTGAAAATAAGAAAAATAATTATCAAATCAAAAGTTTAGCAATCTTGAGTCTAGTAAAATATTTATATAATTGCTGGATATGTTGTTTGGGTTTGTCCAGGTTCTGTCAAACTGTCAAAATTATTAAACAGGGTAACATTATTATAAATATAAAAATTGTTATATCAATAATATACAGTCTGGTCAGACAGCATTGGCATGCATGGTGTGTGGCTGAATACTGGTTGTATACTAGTGGTATATGAAAGTCAGTCATCTTACTGTTTTGGTTGGATTTAACATATAGGTCATTTGGCGACATTCCAGTTTTACTGGTACAGGAAGACCTCAGCGCTCTCAATGCAAAATGATGCAATATTTCAGGCAAAAGTGGGCACCTGAGTAGAACCACCACAGATGTTCCATAAGCTAGCTGTAAAGCTTCCTCACATGAAAGAATTCTAAGTCCCTAGGGGGAATTTGAACCTACTGGGGCAAAAGAGCCCTGTCACAATGCAAGGATGTGGAGGTTGGCCTGGCTCTATACTAGTAGTTAAACTTAAATCTAATTTCAGAATGTTAAGGGATAAAACAAAGCATGTTTTCTCCCTCAGTTACACCAGTGTAATGTATTTAACAATGAAATAAAGTCCATAACAAGGCATTTCTAAAGCCATTAAACAAGTGCTGTGTTAATTGTAAGCACTATGTTTTGAACAATAAATTTCAATTCTTTTCTTTTCTTCTTTTTATTCCTACGGGGGACATTGTCGGAAAATTATTATTTATTACATTAAGACATGTTAAGATAAAAGAATAATCCATGAAACTGATACTTGCATGTACCTCCGCCCCTCTTCTATCTGCACGCTTGATATTCTTCAATGACTGAAATTAATAATAACAAATATTATCATATATCTAATTCTTTAAATTGTCTGGGTCTTCAAGTCAGAGTAATCAAGTCAAAGTATTGGAAACATTCATTTGGAAAAAATGTTTCATAAATATTTAAAAAACAAATTAAAATTGAAAAAAAAATTAAATTCTAGGACACTGAAAACTTAAAAAGAAACAAGATTGCATTTGTAAAAAATGCTATGCCACCGCATAAATACAACACTAAAATAGTAATGTAGGAACACATTTTTTTTGTTTTGACCCAAGGGCTTTACTTTGAATAATCTTGCTAAAGGTTCACTACACAATGTTTACTGCAAAATGCCTCACCTCTAGCCTTTGTCAATTCGAGAAGGTGATATTTTAAAGTTTTTACTATATACATGTAAGGAAAACCTATGACCCCGGGGCAGGGCTAGTTTTGACACTAGAGGCAAAATTTGAACAACTTTGGTAGAGTACCTATAGATGATATCATATACCAAATATCAAAGCTCTAAGCCTTGTACCTTCAGACAATAAGATTTTTTTAATTTTTTACTATATGTACATAGTGAAAATCAATGAACCCCGGGAGTGGGGCCAATTTTGACCCTAGGGATATAATTTGTTCAATCTTGCTAGAGGTTTACTACACAATGTTTCACGCAAAATATCTAACCTCTAGCCTATGTCAATTTAGAGAAGATGATTTTTTAAGTTTTTACTATATACATATGAGGAAAACCTATGACCCCCGGGGCAGGGCTAATTTTGACAAAAAGGTATTTTAAGTTTTTATTATATGTACATGTAGTGAAAATCAATGACCCCCGGGGCGGGCCGATTTGGACCCCAGGGATATAATTTGAACAATCTTGGTAGAGGTCTACCAGACAATGCCTTATGCAAAATATCTAAGCTCTAGGCCTTTTGGGTCTTTATAAGAAGATTTTTTAAATTTATTCTTATAATTCCTTTTTGTTGCCATGGCAACCAGAATTCTGCATGGAATGAATTCTTTGAACAACTTTGGAAGGCCTTCACCCAAGGAACAATCCTGCTAAGTTTGGTTGAAATTGGACTAGTGGTTTTTCACAAGTAGATTTTTTAAGTTCACTATATAATCTATATAACACACACACACACACACACACACAAACAAACACACAGGTGAATCGCTATATGCCACCGCATCGCAGATGCTGCGGTGGCATAAAAATTTGGTTTGGCAATGTCAATAGAAGTAGAAACCATAATAGACTAATATCTGGTTAAAGTGTTTTTTGTTGGTGTTGAAAGTTACATTCTTTCTGTGAAGGTGATCATAGACATTCCTGCTTTTAATTTCATATGAAGCCCTTGGTATTCTATGTTTATTTCCTCAGGCACTAGAGGTACCTTGGAAGAACTATCAATCAAAATTTAACTTCGTAGGACTGCTCTCTACCATGAAAGCATTCAATATGAGGGTTAAATGCAAAACTGTTGTATGTCCTTCTTTATTTCATATAAGTTACATCAGTTTTGTGGTCAACCCTAAAAATTTATTTAAAATAAAGTCAAGATTGTATTTCACAGTGGAGAGGAGTTAGGCAATTTGAGGTCCTTGGCCTTAACCATACAGTCAGGGTGTATTGCTAGCCTATAAAGCACAGGCCCTTCCCTGGGCCTTGAATAAAGATAAAGACCTGAAGTGAAGCCAATGCATTTGTCCTGCAGTCAAAAAATGTACTACTGGGCATTGCTGGCATTTCCCGAACCAGTACAAATGGCCATTTTTTCACCGCATCAAATGCAGTAAGTTTAAAAAGGTTTACTTTTCTATAATTAAAAAAGTTCAATTGAGTACTCGAATGGTACAATATTAAAGATATATTATATTTGAAAATATTGAAAATTGCAACACTGTCTCTATGTAAAAATAAAATCAATATGTTTTGATTTTACACAAAGTAGATATGTTATGTTTTGTTTTAAACTTTACAACTATAGGAGGGTACAATATGACTATATAGTAGATAGAAAATAAATTTCTGCCATAAAATTATTTCACTTAAAGATCAGCATAGTATATCTTTATAATATTTTATTAGCAAATAGTTCAGTTCAGACTAGCAGCATAAATTTACCATATTTCTAAATGTGATACTCAGTTGTCCTGAATGCTGATGATAGTCCATGGGACCTTCATTATTTAAAATATCTCCACATTTCTGATGCTGCCTCCTGTCCTCATTCTGTAAGAATGTTCTTGCTTGCTGCTCACTGCTCAACAAAAATATTGATATATTAGTTTACAATTTTAAAGCATTTACAGTTACTCCTAACATATAGCAAGTTGATTTCCCTATCCAACACCCCATCCCACACCACATCTTTCGAGAAATTGTTTATAAAGAATATTCTGTAAGGAAAGGAAGGTCTTACAAACTATAACTGTTTTTGCATTGGTTTTTGATGTTGAAAGTTGAATACTTTTAAAGCAAAAATTGTCATAATGATAGTCCTTAATGGCAAACTTTTATTTTTACTTCCAAGCCTCTACATTGATTATGTATAAGTATATCAACTTAAAATTTCAAATATTATTAACAAACAAACTCCTCAACAAAAGACCCCCCATCAGACTTGGGCCACACTCATCTTCTTATTTCCAAAAGTAAGCACATCAGAAAAACATGACAATAAATTTAACAAGCGGGCCATGATGGCCCTGAGGTCGCTCAACTGTATATAGCCCCCCCCCCCCCCCCCGGGGCCAATTTTTACCCAAGGGCTTTTATTTGTTTATTTGAAACAGACTTGGTAGACACCCATAAGAAGATGTTTCATGCTAAACATGTAAGTTCTAGCTCATTGGGTTTTTTAAAAGAAGATTTTTTAAGGTCTTTACTATACACATATAGTTAAAAACAATGACACCCCTGGGGCAGGGCCAAGTTTGACCCCCGGGCTTTTATTTGAACAAACTTTGTAGATATTTACTTAAAGATGTTTCATGCTTAATATCTAAACTCTAGCTATTTGGTTTTTTTCAAAGAAGTTTTTTAAGTTTTTGCTAAACACATATAAGGAAAATCAATGACACCTGGGGCGGGGCCAGTTTTGACCCCAGGGCTTTAATTTAAACATACTTGGTAGACACCCATTAGAACATGTTTCATGCTAAATATCTTAGCTCTAGCTCTTTGGGTTTTTTAAAAGAAGATTTTTTAAGGTCTTTACTACACACATATAGTTAAAAACAATGACACCCCTGGGGCAGGGCCAGTTTTGACCCCCGGGCTTTTATTTGAACAAACTTTGTAGATATTTACTTAAAGATGTTTCATGCTTAATATCTAAACTCTAGCTATTTGGTTTTTTTCAAAGAAGCTTTTTAAGTTTTTGCTAAAACACATATAAGGAAAATCAATGACACCTGGGGCAGGGCCAGTTTTGACCCCAGGGCTTTAATTTAAACATACTTGGTAGACACCCATTAGAACATGTTTCATGCTAAATATCTTAGCTCTAGCTCTTTGGGTTCTTTAAAAGAAGATTTTTTAAGTTTTTACTATATGCATATAGGGAAAAATCAATGACCCCTGGGGCGGGGCCAATTTTGACCCCAGGGCTTTTATTTGAACAAACTTTGGTAGACATTCACTAGAAGATGTTTCATGCCAAATATCTAAGCTCTAGCTCTTACGGTTCTTTAAAAGAAGATTTTTTAAAAATTTTTACTATATGCATATAGGAAAAATCAATGACCCCCCAGGGCGGGGCCAATTTTGACCCCAGGGCTTTTATTTGAACAACTTTGGTAGACACTCACTAGAAGATGTTTCATGCCAAATATCTTAGCTCTAGCTCTTTGGGTTCTTTAAAAGAAGATTTTTTAAGTTTTTACTATATGCATATAGGGAAAATCAATGACCCCCTGGGCGGGGCCAATTTTGACCCAAGGGCTTTTTTTTTAACAAACTTGGTAGACATTCACTAGAAGATGTTTCATGCCAAATATCTAAGCTCTAGCTCTTACAGTTCTTTAAAAGAAGATTTTTTAAGTTTTTACTATATGCATATAGGGAAAATCAATGACCCCCCGGGGCGGGGGCCAATTTTGACCCCAGGGCTTTTATTTGAACAAACTTGGTAGACACTCATTAGAAGATGTTTCATGCTAAATATCTTAGCTCTAGCTCTTTGGGTTCTTTAAAAGAAGATTTTTTAAGTTTTTACTATATGCATATAGGGAAAATCAATGACCCCCTGGGGCGGGGCCAATTTTGACCCCAGGGCTTTTATTTGAACAAACTTGGTAGACATTCACTAGAAGATGTTTCATGCCAAATATCTAAGCTCTAGCTCTTACAGTTCTTTAAAAGAAGATTTTTTAAGTTTTTTACTATATGCATATAGGGAAAATCAATGACCCCCTGGGGCGGGGCCAATTTGACCCCAGGGCTTTAATTTGAACAAACTTGGTAGACACTCATTAGAAGATGTTTCATGCCAAATATCTAAGCTCTAGCTCTTAGGGTTGTTTAAAAGAAGATATTTAAAGATTTTTCTTTCGGTTGCCATGGCAACCAGAGTTCTGCATGGAATTAAATTCTTTGAACAATTTTTAAAGGTGACCACCAAAGGAACATTCCTGTGAAGTTTGGATGAAATTGGCTCAGTGGTTTATGAGGAGATGTCATTTAAAGCAAAAGTTTACGGACGGACGACGGACGGACGCCGGACGAAAAGCGATTTCAAAAGCTCACCCTGTCACTTTGTGACAGGTGAGCTAAAAAAAAATAATCCTTTTTTGACCATAATTTAACTCAAATTTCATATTAGACCTTGACAGTAAAGGTCATTTACAGATCAAAAATATTTATGTTGTCATTTGTTTTTTCTTTTTGTTTTTGTTTCACACTGAGAGACATATTTGTCCATTCATAACAAAACTATGGCAATTTAAGCAAATTCATAAAATTGACCATGAGGGTCAAAATATTTCTAACAATACGTGACTATGTAGACAAACCTGATAATTGTAGCTGTAACTCTCGGTGGAGTGAGTTGAAGATTGAGTTTCCCACCTACCAACAGTCGTACAGTTGCTGTAAACCTTGAGTCTTTCTTCAAAACTTGAGGAGGCTGCTGTTCTACTATGAATGTACTGAAGCAGAAAATAGTACACCATTCCTTTATTTCATGCAAATAAATAAAAGCATATTTAAATCGAATCAACCTATCTTTTTGGTCAAAATGTGACTTTTCAGAATATCTTTAAGTTACAGGTTCTAAACTCCCCTAGTAATTTATTTCTGCAAAGTCCAGAAATCTTCCAGTAAACATGAACTTTATATCACAGAGGCAAAAATATGAATTCCATACAACAATAAATGAAAATAAACAGACCTAATCATTCTGAATTATCTAAAAAATTGAATTCTTCAACATCTCTCTTACTTTCACCTATAAAAGTCAGCTATCGTCTTCACCTATTAAAATAATGTTATTGATACTCTGTAAGTATTGTTGTTGTTTTATATTATGTTTTTAATGGGTTTAACATCACACCAACATAGTATAGGTCATATGGTGACGTTCTAGCTTTACTGGTGGAAGAAGACCTCTGGTACCTTTCTGTGCATTATTTCAGGCTCGAGCAAGCAGCTGAGTAGAACCACTGAAGTTCCATAAGCTAGTTGGATAGCTTCCACACATGAAAGAATCCAAAGTCCCTGTCAGGATTCGAACCCCAGTAGTGAGGGGTAAGTGGTTTGAAGTCAATGACCTTAACCACTCGGCAATGGACGCCCCCTGTCAGTATTCAAACACACTATAATCTACATAAGCTTCAAATACAATCTGCATAACAGTTTTGTCTTGTTGTTGTTTCTGTAGATGAGACGTATCAAGAAGGAAATATCCAGTGAAATTTAACAATTTAGTCTAAAATTGATATCAAATGATTAGTATGATATTAAAGCTCAACAGAAACAACACATACCTGGTAACAAGGCTGGAGAGTAGACCGGTTACGATACGGTTAAGATCTGGTTGAAGGTCGGTTTGACCTTGAGGAATGTCTATTGGTAATTGCTGTCGTAATAAATCTACTTTAATTATCTGCATTCTGTTTCGCCAAATAAGGTCTGCTAACACTTCACACCTGTATTATAGTGATAGACAGAGAAAATTTGATTCGCCACTACTTTCTTAGCTATAACTTATATTGTGCAAATTTAACATTAAACATGCCTTCGCCACCAATATAAAGCCGGACTAAGAAATTTGACCAACTCTATATTGCGTGTTATTCAATTATAATATTTTTACATTAAATTCACTAGCACTGTTAATAGACATTTCCATAATCAAAATTAACAAAAGACGGCACCCTTCACTATTCTCAGTGCTTCCCAGTCAGTAAAGGGCATAACTCTGTAAAAAAGTACCTCAGAGTTATGGGACCTGTGCCCATCATGTCAGTTAATCACAGAGTGAAGTTTTAACCCATTCTCTGAATTAATTTTTGAGATACAAACTTGGATGCAAGAACTAATTCTTAGTATGACAGCAATGATTACACTGTTGTGAGCACAATATCTCTTTCTATTCTTTGAATAATGGAGCTAAAAAAACAAGTCTGCAAAGCAACTTAAAATATTTCTTTCCATTTCCTATACCAATGATCAGGTTTTATGGTCCGTCATGTCATATTCATTGTACCATTTTACAATTGCCTACCATCTGAATCAAACTGCTATTTTATAGTACATTCATGTTGATTGCTCTTTTAGAATATATTCATGTATTTATTTTATGTAACTTGGTGTTCAGTAATATCGTTGCAGCGAATCACTGCCAAAAACTTAAGACAACAATGTTTTTTAATTAGGGTGACAGATATAAAATCATCATTTTGAATTTTTCATTTTCACATCTTTACTTTTGAGAAATACAAACTGCAATATTTAAAGGCAATACAAGCATGAATGGGATTATTCACCTTGTTTTTTCTTTTTTATTTTCTTGTTTTCTCAACTATAACACAACTTGGATAGAATCTAGTTTAGCTGACCCCTAGAACTAAATGATTGTGCATGCAATTTATTCTGTTTGTAAGTGTTACTCTGAATTCTGTTGCAGTTTTGGAAAACAAACATGTAAAGAGGCAGGGATTCAGGGGCAGCAGCTCTCAATAAGAAAGTGTGCTAATACTATTTATCTTCTGAGGGCTGCTGACCATTTATATGTTCCCACTACTTTTCCTTCTACTTACACCTGCAACTATATCTTAATTCTAACATGACTCGCATTTGTCCCTATTGATAGTGTGTGTAATATGCTATAAAATCAATGTTGACACACTGACATTTATAAGTACAAAAACAAATCAGGTACAATTTAGCTTGATATCAATTATCGCAGCATTTTTTTTGTTGATGCTGTGTTAGAATTTGAAATATATATCAAAAGCAGTGATTTCACAGCTAAATTAAATCACTGTTTGTCGTTCACATGAGCATCATTATCACTCAGGCTACGCCCTTGTGATATTATTTCGCTGATCCGAACGCCAAACAGTGATTTTATTTAGCTATAAAATCACTGTTGGTGTTAAATTATTTCTGTAATAAAAAGACTATTGTTATTTACCATTTCTGAAGCACATCAATCATTGAAGTATCAAATGGTGCTCCATTCAGTGCCAACTTTTGTTTCTGTCTCCAGGCAATCAATTCATCATCAACAACACGCTTTGTTAACTTATCCAGCATTCCCAATGTGTCGTTATGTTTGCTTGCTAATGACTGAAAGATATACAATGTTATACATAATTCAATTATTGTGTTAGATGTGTTTCACAGATTTTTTCAACTTATTATTTCTATGTTTGTCTTAATGCCTAATACACAATACATGCTTTATTCTCAGAGTTTTATTTCTTTAACAAGTAATTTTTGAATCTGTACATATGAAATTTTAAGTCACTGGCTGGATTCAATCTCACAGCAATTTAGGAAAAGTGATTTTAATACAGCAACTTTAACTCAGCCTAGAGAGCATATTTCAATAATCGTTCCTTTACATAATGTCTAAGGAATGACAGAAATTGAGGATATTGTCAAGCTAAACAAGAGCTGTCGGTAGGACAGCAACGCTAAACTATTCTTAGTGCTTGATAGTAAAAAAAAATGCTTGATACAGTTACCTCCTCTTGTTTACAGGTTGGGGCCATGATGGTGAACAAGTGTGCAAAGTTTCAAAGCCATATGTCAATGGACTTTGAAAATATTTGAACTATTACAAAAACTTGAACGTAAATTCTAAGTCGAACTAGAACTCCGCGAGTCGGATGTGTCGCCTTGTGAACAATGTAGTTTAGGGGAAATGGCCAGGACAAAAATGAAATATAAAAAATTAACAAAGGGCAATAACTAAAAAAATAATAAGTGCAGAGCAGCAGTTTCTGTACACTGCACTTCTTATCAAATAAGATCTATCATTCTATGATGTTTCAAGTCCATAGCTTTCATACTTGAGGAGAAATGACCAGGACAAAAAATAAAGTAAGAAAATCAACAAAGGGCAATAACTCAAAAATAAGAAATGCAGAGTATCATTCTTATGCACTGCACTTTTTTTTAATGAGATCTATCATCCTATCAAGTTTCAAGTCCATAACTTTTATACTTTCGGATAAATGGCCTGGACAAAAATTAAGTATGAAAATTAACAAAGGGCCATAACTCAAAAATTAAGAAAATGCAGAGTACCGATTCTTTTGTGCACTGCACTTCTTAATAATGAGATCTATCATCCTATGAAGTTTCAAGTCCATAGCTTTTATACTTAAGTAGAAATGGCCCGGACAAAATTAAGTATGTAAATAAACAAAGGCAATAACTCAAAAAATAAGAAATGCAGAGTACCAGTTCTTGTGCACTGCACTTCTTCTTAATGAGACCTATCATCCTTTGAAGTTTTCAAGTCCATGGCTTTTATACATTAGGAGAAATGGCCCGGACAAAAATAAAGTATGAAAATTAACAAAGGGCAATAACTCAAAAATTAGGAAGTGCAGAGTACCGATTCTTGTGCACTGCACTTCTTAATAATGAGATCTATCATCCGATGAAGTTTCAAGTCCATAGCTTTTTTAGTTGAAGAGAAATGGCCCGGACAAAATTAAAGTATGAAAATTAACAAAGGGCAATAACTCAAAAAATAAGAACTGCAGGGTACCGGTCCTTGTGCACTGCACTTCGCGTTATTGAAAGAAGCATGCATACTAAGTTTGAAGTCAATCAGACTTATAGTGACTAAGTTATGCTCCGGACAAGCTTTAGGGGACGCCGACAACGACACAGACCGCCGCCGACACCGCCGCCGACAAAAAGTAACCCCTATATGTCACCTTTTTTCAAGGCGACACAAAAAGGGGCATAATTCTGTCAAAATGCTTGATAGAGTTACCTCTTCCTGTCTAAAGGTTGGGGTCATGATGGTGAACAAGTGTGCAAAGTTTCAAAGCCATATGTCAATGGACTTTGAAAATATTTGAACTATTACAAAAACTTTATCATAAGTGGTTACGCAGACGCCGACGCAGACACCGACGCTCGGGTGACTACAATAGCTCTACTTATTCTTATCGAATAGTCGAGCTAAAAATGAAAATAAAAAAACAACATAACAACAGACGCACCAGTCTTTGTTGTAGAATTTGTTGAGCAGCAGACAGTAGCTGCCTGTCCATTTCTTCTTTTTCTTGTTTAAACTTTGTCTCTAGTTCTGTACGATTTGCACTCTGTGGCTGTTGCTGAATGTGTGCAAGGTTTGCTGTAAATAATGTAATATAAAATATTAGAAACTTGTTATAAGGATTGATATATGAGCCGCGTCACGACAAAACCAACATAGTGCGTTTGAGACCAGCATGGATCAAGACCAGCCTGCACATCCGCGCAGTCTGATCAGGATCCATGCTGTTCGCTTACCAACTCTTTTACAAGTAGAGAAACTGACAGCGAACAGGCTGGTCTTGATCCATGCTGGTCGCAAGCGCACTATGTTGGTTTTGTCATGACGCGGCTCATATATAGTCAAGTCTTATCAGAAAAGTAATCATGCTCTTTGTATAAATAACCTTTACATTGTCGTGAACTATTAACAATAGGTCTAATTATTTTTCATTCGATGATAAAGTCCTTAAAATGTGTCAGCCACTTCCAATGCTCCAACCTACTGGGGAAGAGGCATCAGCCTTTCTACATACTTGAAAATTTGCCCATGTTCAAACTAATTTCCTAAGGATCGGGGTTACACTTTGACTGGCACAGTAAGTTTTCTCAACCTCCACTAATTATTTTATGCAATAAACATCCACATGGCTTTGACAATGACAAATAATTCAACGATTTGATATTAGAATAAAATAATTGAGAGGTTGAAATTTTCCCTTGATAAAAAGTTCACAAAAATATGAAAGTTCAAGGTGATTGTTTTTTGAAATATTGGGTGGATTGTGTGTGTGTGTGTGTGGGGGGGGGGGGGGGGGGAATAATATTCTCCTCCATGTTTTATTATACGATATGTAACAATATACAAACCTGAAATTTTATCTTGGTTTTGGTAGTCTATCACAAATTTCTCCTGTTTTAGCTGCATATGACGTAAATCTTGATCAGTCTCCTAAATAACAACACACATTGTTATTATCCTTCACACTGACAAAACACACATTGTTATTATCCTTCACCTGAAAACACACATTGTTATTATCCCTTTCACACTGACAACGACACATTGTTATTGTCCTTCACCCTGAAACACAGCAATTGTTATTATCCTTCAGAACACTGACAACACACATTTTGTTATTATCCTTCACCCTGACAACACACATTGTTATTATCCTTCAAACTGACAACACACATTGTTCTTATTCCTTCACACTGACAACACACATTGTTATTATCCTTCACACTGACAACACACATTGTTATTATCCTTCACACTGACAACACACATTGTTATTATCCTTCACACTGACAACACACATTTTGTTATTATCCTTCACACTGACAACACACTTTACTGCTGTATAAGTGATTAAGTTAGCGACACGGAAATATTGGCAAATTTAGCAAATTGATGAAAATGCTAAAATTTTCTCTAGCCTAAATACCAAGCAACTTGTCATTAAATGCGTAACCCTTACGTGATTCGCTAATATATCCTCATGTGAAATGTCTGGAAATTTAATTCACCAACTCTTTAGACACGTGAAAATATCCACTTATACAGTATGTGTGCAGTCGAACTTATATTGGAATATATTGCAATACAGTCAAAACTGTATTAGGATACAGTCAAATACATATCGGGATAGTTAAACCTGTATTTGGATATATTGTGATACAGTCAAACCTGAATTTAGATATATTGTGATACAGTCAAACCTGAATTTAGATATATTGTGATACAGTCAAACCTGAATTTAGATATATTGTGATACAGTCAAACCTGAATTCAGATATATTGTGATACAGTCAAACCTGAATTTAGATATATTGTGATACAGTCAAACCTGAATTCAGATATATTGTGATACAGTCAAACCTGAATTTAGATATATTGTGATACAGTCAAACCTGAATTTAGATATATTGTGATACAGTCAAACCTGAATTAGGATACAGTCAAATACATATCGGGATAGTTAAAATATTGTGATACAGTCAACACATTTTGCAATACATTGATTTTTATGAGAAACTTTATAGAAATAAAGATTCTGTTTATTTTCAAAATATCAAAGCTCTAAAAACACTTTTCTTTTAACAAGTTTGAAAGGTTACTCTTTAACACATTTCAGTTTTTATATAAAAAATGAGTTTGTACATAAACAAGGTTGCACAGCTCGAAATAGTCATTATGTGTGATTATATATTGAGCTCAAATATCAAAATAAAATATAACAGTACAAGAGTACTTTGATATAACAGTACAAAGAGTATCAATATATTGTTGCACCTGGGTCACCACTATTATTTTCCCATAAACATTCACCACTATTATTTTCCCATTAAACATTCACCACCATTATTTTCCCATAAACATTCACCACCATTATTTTCCCATAAACATTCACCGCTATTATTTTCCCATAAACATTCACCACTATTATTTTCCCATAAACATTCACCACTATTATTTTCCCATAAACATTCACCGCTATTATTTTCCCATAAACATTCACCGCTATTATTTTCCCATAAACATTCACCGCTATTATTTTCCCATAAACATTCACCACTATTATTTTCCCATAAACATTCACCACTATTATTTTCCCATAAACATTCACCGCTATTATTTTCCCATAAACAAACATCTTTTGATTGGTCCCATAAATTTTCATCTTTTGATTGGTTAAGGTAAATAGACTTACTCCAGAATAAAGAATATTTTGGGTTTTCCCAGCTAAACCTGGGGTACAAACAAATTTTTACAGTTACAGCCTAGAAAGAAAGTGCAACAGGTAGACTTATCTTTTGTGACTGGTAGGGAACTGTGAAGCTATAACTGTAAAAAATTGTTTGTACCGGGGGATTAGCACAGAAAAACCCACATTTGCCGAGTTACTGATTATATCTATTTAAAAAGAACGTCTGTGCATTATTTCAGGGTACTTTAGTAGAACCTTTAACCGTTTGTATACATGCTGCATAGTTTGTTGTTTTTTTTTCTGTTTTTTTTTTCTTTTTTTTTCATGTAAAAAATATTCTAAATCCATGTGAAGATCAGAAACAGTTGTATGAAATTTCATAACTTGACTAGGGCCAAACTTGATACCTGGACATGCATGTTTTAAATTTAACTTGTCCATAGACCATCTATCAGTGCAGTCTGACCAGGCTCTATACTGTCAATAGCTAAATTTTTGTATTTTGATATTGAAATCTCTCATAAACTTTGAATAGACAGCTCCAATTTCAAAGCTGGACAAATCTTATATCAATAGGTAAAACAGAAACATGTATTTCTACAACCATTATTTACATAATTTTATGATATGACTTACATCTGTTTTTTTATCAAGGAGATCCATACAGGCTTTAATTTCCTGTCTCGTCTTGTCATCCAAGGTTGCCTGCATTGTTGTAACACCTGAAGGTGAACCCTGGAAAAAAACAAGAGAAAAAATATCATCCAATGTATATATTTTTTTTTTTTCAGGCCCCGAAGGTGACCCCATTTATTGCCTCCGTCGCATGAGTTTTTAAGGGTGGGAGGTCCATCCCTTAACAGTCTTACAAAATGTGTTAAAACATAAAAAGTTAACATAGTATTAACATAAAGTAAATTACGGTTGAAAAATTGAATATGTAAAGGAGGTTATAAGGTCAAGACATAGAAAAATATTACTACATCTACATTATGCCTTAAACAAAAACATAATTTTTTTTCTTCTATATTTATGAGTAATACACAAACGAATGATACTAATGGGGTTAGCTAGGAGGCTTGAGGATAGAATAAATAGACATACGAAAAAGGATGATTATTTACAAAAGAGAACAACAATATAACACAACAAAAACATCAAAGACAGATACTTTGCGGCCAGGGCACGTTCAAAAATACTACAAACATGAATTTATTCTTCCATGTATGCTCAAACAAAGCTCGGTATGAAAACTGAAAAAGACAAAGGTCGCTCCTAACATTAACATACAAAAAAGTATTTTGATGATTCACATTAATCATTATCAGATTGGAACAAAAAATTTGGATTGGTCTCTATTATATTATGATGATTAATGACATATAATTTAAAATAGTATGCCAGTCTTTTTTAAATTAGTCAAGATTTCCACATTAGATAGCTTTTTCTTCATTTACCTTTAGAACATATGAAATATACTTTATAGCACCAACAAGAGATAGCATTGTTTTATTAGTTTTACCTTTAAAAATATACATTTTGACATATAAAAGAACTAAATTGTTTACAACATTTATTGTATTGTTTCCTTTAGTGTAACCAAAAAGCATAGTTTCTTTATTCAAGTTTGGCATGTTTAGTTTATCTATACAAATTTCATGTATAAGTTTATTGCTGAGAATGCATTCCCAAAAGATATAGAGGATATTTGTTTGTTTCAGTGTAAGATCGAAAAATATTTCACCGAGTGAACACCAGATGCAATATTTTCCACGAGTGGCGTAGCCACGAGTGAAAATATAATAGCTGGGGTTCACGAGTGAAATATTATTTGATCTTACATGTAAAACAAACAAATTTTCTGTTTATTTCATGATTTTTTTAACGATTTTTACACCATTTTTACTGATTTTTGCCGCGTAACGTCATGCTCTTATCTTCATGACGTCATCAAATAATGACGTCACAATGTTGAAGCAAAATATAATTCCATTGATTATTTTTTAGATTTTAGATTTTTTTCAGCACAACGTTCGTAAATATTTACGAACTACAGTTATCACGTACATTTTTTATTATGATTGACATCATTTCCGCTGAAAAAAACATTCATTAATGATAAATATTTTATTTTTACGCCAAATATAGTTCGGCTACTGTGAAATTATATTTGGTAATCATTACTGTGAAATTATCGGAATATAATTAACAGTTATAATTCAGTAATCTACTGCAAAACATGTAATAAATGTTCTATAGTTTCATCATGAAGATTACAAAGGCTACATAAAGGACTGTTAATATATTTCATTTTGAACAAAAGATTATTTTGTACCCAAAACCCTATGGATAAGTTGTATATAAGTATCTTTTGTCAATTTGAATGGTAAATTATATATATTCTTCCAGTATTCATCATCATTTGAGAGGCATAGTTTTTGTGACCATTTGACCTGACAAACGGGCTTGCTGGAATTGACATTAAGCGAATCATACATATATTTTGAGCCTTTTTGGTCTTTAATTATCCCTTTAATGTGTATTGGAATTGTTGGGAAGTTTTCTCTCTTAAAAGTTAAAGGGTTGAAGCAGACATTTTGAAAAAAGGTTGAAACTGCTTTTTTAATTCCTAAATATAAAAGATGATTGATATTTATATTGTAGATCTTGCCTAATTCTTCTGGTGTATAAAACTGGCCATTGTCTTGTAAAATATCATAAATACAACAAATTCCCTTATCATAACAAGATTTCCAAAAAATACTTTTATTGCCAATAGTAATATTGTGATTGTAAAATAAACGTAAGTAACAAAAGTCTTCTTTATCAAATTTCTGATGCTCAAAAAACAATGAAAATGCATTTTAAGTGTGTTTCCAGAATTCATTTTTAATAGATTTTGTCATTTTCTCGACATAATGCTTTCCACACGTGACTAATTTATGTACATCAATATAGTAACTGAAATATTGTGAAGAATTATGAAGCTGCATAAGCAAACATATTTTAAAATATGAAAATCATACAACCCCCCCCCCCCCCCCAAAAAAAAAAAAAAAACCAACAACAAATAAAACAACAAGTGGGCACAAGACTACCCTTGATAGGGTCACAATTCTTCACAATTGTAACCCCAGAAGCAGACAATTTATAACATAAGCATCAAACTTAACTTTTCTAGTGCTGTTTGGTCAAGATATATTTTGCTGTTTAAAAAATTTGCAGAATTAGATAAAGTCAATTACATGTCATAAGAACAAAATAATTTATGGACATAATGAAGAGAAATCTGCTATTTTGGTTCAAGTGTTCAGAGCTACTTTAAGTGATTTAAAAGGTAATTTAAGTAAGCTTAAAACTTTAAAACAGAATCAAATGTAAACAATAAACAGGAAAACATTAAGAAAATCTAACCCAACCCACTTTAGTGAATACCACAAAAGCAAATTTCAAGTTTCCACGAAAAGATTTCAAAGATATTTATTATGACAATCACTTGCATTCAACACATGGGCTCCTAGTGAATCATGTAAAACAAGATATGTTTGTAAAACATGTATGCCCCCTATCAGCAGCCAATTATTCATGTGATAAGGTAATTATGCATGACTTCTGACCCAGTGATCAAACAATTAATAAGGGTTATCAAGTATCTACTGGTCATGGACCTTGATCTTTGACCCCTTGACCCAAAACTCAATAGGGGTCATCTGCTGGTCAAGACAAAATCATCATACAAAGTTTGAAGTTCCTAGGCCTAAGCGTTTTTACTTAATTGATCAGAAACCGTTTTTACTTACAAGGTCAATGAGACCTTGACCTTTGACCCCTTGACCCCAAAATCAATAGGGGTCATTTGCTGGTCATGACTAATCACCATGCCAAGTTTGAAGTTCCTAGGCCTAAGGGTTCTTTTATTATTGATCCGAAACCGTTTTAACATACAAGGTCAATGTGACCTTGACCTTTGACCCCAAAATCAATAGGGGTCATCTGCTGATTATGACCAATTACTATGCCAAGTTTGAAGTTCCTAGGCCCAAGTGTTCTTTAGTTATTGATCAGAAACCGTTTTTACTTACAACGTCAATGGGACCTTGACCTTTGACCCCTTGATCCCAAAATCGAAAGGGGTAATCTGCTGGTCATGGAAAATCACCATACCAAGTTTGAAGTTCCTAGGCCTAAGCGTTCTTAAGTTATTGATCAGAAATCGTTTTTTACTTACAAGGTCGATGTGACCTTGACCTTTGACCCCTTGACCCAAAACTCAATAGGGGTCATCTGCTGGTCACCACCAATCATCATACAAAGTTTGAAGTTTCCTAGGCCTAAGCGTTTTTAGTTAATTGATCAGAAACCGTTTTTACCTACAAGGTCAATGTTACATGACCTTTGACCCCTTGACCCTAAAAACAATAGGTCATCTGCGGTCATGACCAATCACCATACCAAGTTTTGAAGTTCCTAGGCCTAAGGGTTCTTAAGTTATTGATCGGAAAGCATTTTTACCTACAAGGTCAATGTGACCTTTCCCTTTGACCCCTTAACCCCAAAATCAATAGGGGTCATCTGCTGGTCATGACCAATCACCATACCAAGTTTGAAGTTCCTAGGCCTAAGGGTTCTTTAGTTATTGATCGGAAACTGCTTTTTACCTAAGAGGTCAATGTGACCTTGACCTTTGACCCCTTGACCCCAAAATCAATAGGGGTCATCTACTGATCATGACCAATCACCATACCAAGTTTTGAAGTTCCTAGGCCTAAGGGTTCTTTAGTTATTGATCCGAAACTGTTTTTACCTAAGAGGTCAATGTGACCTTGACCTTTGACCCCTTGACCCCAAAATCAATAGGGGTCATCTACTGATCATGACCAATCACCATATCAAGTTTGTAGTCCCTAGGCCTAAGGGTTCTTTCGTTATTGATCGGAAACCGTTTTTACCTACAAGGTCAATGTGACCTTGACCTTTAACCCCTTAACTCCAAAATCAAAAGGGGGTCATCTACTGATCATGACCAATCACCATATCAAGTTTGAAGTCACTAGGCCTAAGGGTTCTTTCATTATTGATCGGAAAACCGTTTTTACCATTACAAGGTCAATGTGACCTTGACCTTTGACCACTTAACCCCAAAATCAATAGGGGTCATCTGCTGGTCATAATTAATCACCATCCCAAGTTTGAAGTTCCTAGGCCTAAGGGTTCTTTTGTTATTGATCGGAAACCGTTTTTACCCAAGAGGTCAATGTGACCTTGACCTTTTGACCCCAAATGGTGTTAGGGGTCATCTACTGATCATGACCAATCACCATACCAAGTTTGAAGTTCCTAGGCCTTAGGGTTCTTTACTTATTGATCAGAAACCGTTTTTGCTTACAAGGTCAATGAGACCTTGACCTTTGACCCCTTGACCCCAAAATCAATAGGGGTCATTTTGCTGGTCATGACTAATCACCATGCCAAGTTTTGAAGTTCCTAGGCCTAAGGGTTCTTTTATTATTGATCCGAAACCGTTTTTAACATACAAGGTCAATGTGACCTTGACCTTTTGACCCAAAATCAATAGGGGTCATCTGCTGATTATGACCAATTACTATGCCAAGTTTGAAGGTTCCTAGGCCCAAGTGTTCTTTAGTTATTGATCAGAAACCGTTTTTACTTACAACGTCAATGGGACCTTGACCTTTGACCCCTTGATCCCAAAATCGAAAGGGGTAATCTGCTGG